TTTTTAACACAACCCACCTGTTGCAATTCACCAATGTACATCAACATAATGTCTTATCTGTTATCACGGGATGTTCCTTTACGATAAGTTAAGTTTCCTTATTGGTTTTTCAAATAAAGGATCTTTAAAAAATACCAAACTGGTATAGGCGACATTCAAAAGCTTTTATCTGTTCTAGGAATCTGCATTATTCAATATATGTATAATAATGATAACCTGGACTTAAAAAGACTTGATCTATTGCCATTGAAAACTGTTCCGAAGTGCTTTTTAAATTTTAGCTATTTAGAATGGTGCGCACACAGCAGACTTCAAGGAAGATAATTAGTGTGAAAAGTGATCTTTTGTCAGTCGAGACATAGAGACAAAAAAATTGAAACAAAGGGAAAGAAACTTGGATCCCTTAAACAGCTCTTAACCTTGTTCTCAGTTGGGAACGTGACATTACTTACTTTGATTTGCAAAGATAAAACATTGCTGTTGTTTTCGACAAGCAGACGACACTTACACTTTCGGAGCACTTAATCCAGTTTTCTTTGTACTTTTTCAGGCTTCCGTGTAAATATTTCTTTTGTTGTTGCCCTTGTATCATTGAATCTAAATTGAAATTCTGTTGACATGTTGGTATTTCCCTTGTCGTTTGTGCAATAATCCATGTCCTATTTGTAAATAAGAAGAAAGTTCGGAATATTGCAAGGATATTTCAAGTACAACAAATGTATTAACCTTTCACGATCAGGCAGCTTGGCAAACCATGTAAACACTTATACCGAGTCTAGATTGATCGAATGTGTGTGGGAGCCTATTTAGTAAAGTATGCATAGATAATTCATGATTAAATTCTTCAAAGAATATGTTTCAATCTGCTATATCATGTTTAAAAATGGAATGTTCTTTTTTTCAAAAATCCTGCTTGATTGTAAGCTTATTTTTTTCGAGTTGTTTAATTTAACAATTCTAACCAGGCACAGCTGGATTGTTTCACAACTGCATACACGTGTGAAACATCAGCTGATTTTAAATTTGAAAATTATTTAACTTGTGTAAATGAATACTCTAGTAAAATTTAGCACCACTTTGTTATTTAACAGCTTTTCCCTATTCAGTTACCTCAGTATAACTAGATCTGTCCCTGTGCGGTAACTGAAAACGAGTAATATTTGCATATTTCTGTTTGGTATTTACCTGTTATGCATATCACATCAAATTTCTATGGTCCTGTCAATGAGTTGTATTCACATTTCTAGTAGTATTTGTATCTCTCCACGTTTAAAGAGCCACTTCTGCATCTACGTTACAGGAAGTGGAAGGTGACATTACGTAAATGTATCTTTATGTCATCATTAGAAGCAATTCCGATTTCAAATGCAATAACATCAAAAATGTGTTATGAATCAAGAAATCATCATAACAGAAACTGATTCAACAACGCCAATTGACATACTTTTTAGTAAGAATATTATACGATGGCGGAAGTTAGAGTGTGAAGTCATTAGCATATGTAATGGAGTAGCGAATCAATTTCCTTCCCAAATAAGGTCACGCAATATATTACGCTATTCTTTCTTTTCCTTGGAGGTAAGGGGGTTGTACGATAGCTTAGTCTATATAACGTTATACTTGTGGAGATCCGAGATGTGTAGTTCCACGGTCCTTACTCTTGGTGATTTGTATTTCTCAGAAAGCTGAAAACTAGACCCTCCTGTCATCCTATTATTAGCTATTTGAACAAGGTTGAAGCTCTATTTCTGTGACATTTTCGATGTTATTTGGTGAGGTATCAAACAAGATCCAGAATTAGACTTCGCGTCAAGCTGGCCCTGTCTGCTAAGGCTACGAACCCAACACACAAACAAATCATTTTTATGATGTACATGTAGTTGGGATTGGAAGTACAATTTCCTAACCTCAGTTTAACAAATAGTGTGTAGAATGATATTCCTACATTGTTTTTTCATCTAGTACTGGTACCAATATCTAGAACAACATCAAAACAATCAAAACAATCTTAGTTTCTCTACTTTAAGTTGATAATGCTTTAAAGAATCACACTCTGATGAACTACACCTTCTGGTTGACCGCTGGTCATATCTATAGCGAAAGGATGTTGTTTGTCGTCACCTAGATAATAATAGTGGTCAGTGGTAGTAATGGCCAGTAATTATAGAGCATGCACACATTAACTTTGTCGATATTTTATTTCAATGTATCAATAGGAATGTAATCTAGGTTTTCCATTACTCGCTAGCAAAACGACATATTCACAGCGGTATAATTCATGTTGGTCCTGTCTGAATCCCTGAAGCGGTTACTCGCTAACAAACATTCACAACTTCACAGCTATGTTAATTTTATTACATTTCGTTTGAGTAGTATATAGTATATAGTGCATGTTACTTCGGGGAGATGATAGGACATGATCACCTCGGATAGACAGAAGTCTCTTGCAGTACTAACAATCACCTATTTGATGTATCATTGGGGATCAAAGCGTTAAAACTACACCTTCAATACTTTAGATAACATTTTGGAGCTGTCCTTGAACACATGTCTTCACGTGGCTATTGCTATTGTTCAGACGTTATATCCTATACAAGAACAAAGACCAACTGTTTTATAAAATTTCCCTAACGAGTTATTTAGATAGGGTATCTCCCCATTTATGTATTGACATATGTTTCACCCAGGTTAGATTGTCCTCCTTCGTTCCTGGGTTTCGTCCTGGAAGGACCAAACAGCTGTATGATGCATTTTATCATTCTCTTCGTATACTATATGACCAGCCTTTTAATACAGATTAAATGTTCGATAAAGTAGAGCTGAACAATGAATTCAGTATCATCATACAGCTGTTTCGTTTTTCTAGGACTCGTCAGTGATACTTATAGCCTAAAGTCTGAAACATAAGAGGTAATTAAGATAAATAGAAAGTGGTTGAAAGAAATGTCAATATCTAGTGCTCCAGCCCAATAATTTCATAAATTTTGTTATCAATTAATCATTTATCAGATAACCTTAGAACAACATCATGTACATTCAACATTATTCAATAGTGCGTCTTTTTCCAAATATGTCTGTAACAATTTATTATGGATGTCATCCACAAGACAAATACATATACGTGTATGTAACATATTTTCACTCTTTAAAATCAATACCAGTCGTTATAAATCAGAGATGCAACATACCTTGTGTGGGCCAGCATTATTATCTTCGCTGAAACAGATGTTTAATATCACAAATGCATATAAACAGGTATTTTATTACTTCATGTATATGGATGCTCCAAGCACTAAATCTTGTTTCATAAACTTTACGACACTATGCTATGGAATATTCTGTCCTTGCTAGAAAACGGAATCCTCCCTTAACAGACACTGAAGTGATGAAATAAATACATCGAAATTGAATACAACCCTAGTGTTCGACATATATGTTCCATTTACAATAAACCCGAAGATTTCTCTCCTATTTCACCCCCCTAATAATAGTTTTGATATGAATTTAAATTTTCAGTTAGCCGTATATGTAGTATCAAATAATTTAATTCCCCATAGCTACTGTAAAATTCTAATTTTCGTGGGGCTCTCATACCGTGGTTAACCATCAAATACATTTCCATTGACATTTGAGCGGTTCTTGGGTAAATAGTACATGTCTAATCCCCTAGCACTAAGAGGATACATATTCCGACCAGTTTAACTTTTCGCGGACTTGTGAATCCGCGGGTTAAGGTTACCAACAATAAGAACAACAAAAATAAAACCTCGCAAAAATTAAACATCTTAGAGTAAACGTTTCCACCATGTAAAATTCTCGTCAGAAGCGTGATATCATACATATCATTTAACCATGTGTTAGGCTTTAAAAGCTTATTGTCAATCCTGTACATTTCAATTATAAAACTCTACACATGGCAACAGTTTTCCTAACATTTGTCAACCTCTAAATACAGTTGCGAACAAAATTACTTCTTTTGACGAATTGTGATGTAAAAATCCAGGTGATATATCTGACAAGCATGTGTAATGAGATTTGCCAGCTTTGATATACCTAACATGTCCTGTCATAAATACATCAAAGCTTTGGACGGTATGATGCAGATTGATATAAGTATGCATATTATTATCAAATTTGTACATGGTCCTTGTTGAGATAATGTGAATAATGTTAAACGTCATTAATTTATTTAATCTCTTGTAGCTGTTTCATGGCATCTGCTTAATCTGTTATATATCATGTATAAAGGATTCGTGTCTCATTCGAATTGAACATGTTCAGAATAAACCACATGTACTCGAAATTCTTCTAAAGTTATCAGATATATTAAAAGATAACAAATTTGATTGACCTTTGGGTCTGGTACACCTTCCTATCTATATTTTGACATTTCTTCAATCAATTCTGATTTTTCTTATTCCCCTCTTAGGTTTCTGAATGTTGGATTTTGACATCAATAACGAGTTTTAAAAGGACGAAACAGCTTTATGACAAAGTTTAATTCATGATTTTGAGTTAATGTATCTTATTCAAAATTTGCATTAAAATATGCAATTGACTTGTATGTCTGTATCAACGCCATGTAGTCGATCAACCTTCATATTGTCCTGTATTAAGCCTATGCCATAGACCTGAATAATGATGTTAGATAATACATGGGTCTTAGATGCTACAACATAGTGTCCATTATCAGCAGATTTATCTCTTGTCTGAAGACATCAAATAGTACCATTAATTTTTGTATCAAATGTAATGATTTATTTGAAGTGACGTCACCTTAAAATTTGACATGCTTTTGACGCAGAGCCAGATACATAGAACAAGATTTTTATAACTTGTTTGTTCAACACAATGGAAAGATGAACATGAAATAGCTGAATACCCTTTTTAAATAAATAAATAGAAAAAAAAATATTTTAAATGTTGACTTCATATTTATTTAATTTCAGTTTTACATGAATGAAATATATGTATGAAGAAAATATCTTTCAATTTTTCAGAATGGAATTGGTTTGGCATGGTGAATTCGATCGTCTCTTTAGCCAGTACTTCCCTCACATGTGGTACCTCGTTCCTACATTTAACCCACCTAACGACCGCTGGAGGACATTCAAAGATAGTGCCAAAGTCAGATTCTCCTGTCAGGTATGTGTAGTACTCAAAATTAAACCATTAAAATAAGACATGCACATATACACCATGTTTAAACAGTCAAGTCTGCGTTAAGGACTATAACTTTTTTTAATGAGCAACGTCCACAGGCGTCAAGATAATATATGTATTTAAGAATCATCTTCCTGTAAACATTAACTTTCCAAAATATTTATTGTCTTGGTCAAGAGTATTATTCAAAACCTAAGTGTTTTTTGTAATATATACACGAAATGAATAAATAATTAAACAGATGGAAAAATGGAGAAGTCTATGTTACCGTTAACGCACAGCAGAATATTACACTTATAAAGGATTTCTATATTATAATTAGAGGCAGAGAAATACATTGTTTCTTTTTTTGTAATATCTGTAAATAGTTATTATAATCAACATAGCTCATTACCACTCCCACCTTATCCTAGTTGATATAACACAGAAAATATCTTGCTGTACTGTATATCTAGTACAAATGAAGCTGTAAATGTCATGCTGTACTGTATATTTAGTACAGACGAAGGTGTAAATGTCATGCTGTGCTGTATATCTATTACAGACGAAGCTGTAAATGTCATGCTGTGCTGTATATCTATTACAGACGAAGCTGTAAATGTCATGCTGTACTGTATATCTAGTACAGACGAAGCTGTAAATGTCATGCTGTACTGTATATCTAGTACAGACGAAGCTGTAAATGTCATGCTGTACTGTATATCTAGTACAGACGAAGGTGTAAATGTCATGCTGTACTGTATATCTAGTACAGACGAAGCTGTAAATGTCATGCTGTACTGTATATCTAGTACAGACGAAGCTGTAAATGTCATGCTGTACTGTATATCTAGTACAGACGAAGCTGTAAATGTCATGCTGTGCTGTATATCTATTACAGACGAAGCTGTAAATGTCATGCTGTACTGTATATCTAGTACAGACGAAGCTGTAAATGTCATGCTGTACTGTATATCTAGTACAGACGAAGCTGTAAATGTCATGCTGTACTGTATATTTAGTACAGACGAAGGTGTAAATGTCATGCTGTGCTGTATATCTATTACAGACGAAGCTGTAAATGTCATGCTGTACTGTATATCTAGTACAGACGAAGCTGTAAATGTCATGCTGTACTGTATATCTAGTACAGACGAAGCTGTAAATGTCATGCTGTACTGTATATCTAGTACAGACGAAGGTGTAAATGTCATGCTGTACTGTATATCTAGTACAGACGAAGCTGTAAATGTCATGCTGTACTGTATATCTAGTACAGACGAAGCTGTAAATGTCATGCTGTACTGTATATCTAGTACAGACGAAGCTGTAAATGTCATGCTGTACTGTATATCTAGTACAGACGAAGCTGTAAATGTCATGCTGTGCTGTATATCTATTACAGACGAAGCTGTAAATGTCATGCTGTGCTGTATATTTAGTACAGACGAAGCTGTAAATGTCATGCTGTGCTGTATATCTAGTACAGACGAAGCTGTAAATGTCATGCTGTACTGTATATCTAGTACAGACGAAGCTGTAAATGTCATGCTGTGCTGTATATCTAGTACAGACGAAGCTGTAAATGTCATGCTGTACTGTATATCTAGTACAGACGAAGCTGTAAATGTCATGCTGTGCTGTATATCTAGTACAGACGAAGCTGTAAATGTCATGCTGTACTGTATATTTAGTACAGACGAAGCTGTAAATGTCATGCTGTGCTGTATATCTAGTACAGACGAAGCTGTAAATGTCATGCTGTACTGTATATCTAGTACAGACGAAGCTGTAAATGTCATGCTGTACTGTATATCTATTACAGACGAAGCTGTAAATGTCATGCTGTACTGTATGTTTAGTGTAGACAAAGCTGTAAATGTCATGCTGTGCTGTATATCTAGTACAGACGAAGCTGTAAATGTGATGTTGTACTGTATATTTAGTGAAGACAAAGCTGTAACCGCCTGATAAAAAAATGGAGATGCCGGCGACCTATGTTTTTAGAATAGATTATAAACTGTACACCTCCAGCGTCGATAGTGTTCCAGTTCTTAGCATGAATTATGAGCTACTTCGGAAGTTAAATTTGATGAATGTTACTAAATCACAACTACGCTTAAGTCATGCTATCAAGGTCCGTAAATACACAACCTAAAAGTTTAATATGAATACAAGAAGCAGTGCGAGCGATTGACTGACTACTGTAGCGTTACTGTGTGGTTAACACGAAACGTCTTAAATTTCAACATGCATTGTATGGTAAGCCTTGACCCAAACATGTCCCAATTATTTACATGCAATATGAGAATTTCTGAAATGCATTGGTAAATAACAGATGAACAATGACCTTGATATTACAACAAAGCAGTTTCATTGCCATAGCCTTCTGTGTCATTCTAAGTAAAATGCTGTCGATTAACAATGATCTTATCATACACTCAAACAAAAATGACTATATCATTTCCTTTCCTTAAGGTACATTTTTAACATAAATTCACCATTTTTTTGTGGTTTTACTGCAAATCACTTACTGTAATGCATTTCATGGGCGCTTCATTTCGTGGATATATATATATATATATCTTAAAATCTACTTATATAATGTTATCAGTACATGAACACATGAACTCGCGAAAATTTATAGTTTTACAGTAACAGTCTTGTGTCTACAGAATGACAAAAAAATCTTATTATTTTTGTAACTTGTATGTCCATAATTACACGTTCACATCACATTGATTTGATACACATCTTATTTTAAGATCAACTGCAAACCTTAAGGGAAAGCAACATGATATTGATAATGTGTTCTTTGAACGTAGCCGTATAGGTGAATAATATTTTCTATATTTCATGTGCAATGATTGAATATCCATCAATTAGGCAATGTCATGCATTATCGAATCGACATATTCTATATATATTTATGAAGTAGCAGGCATACCGAAAATTTCATCTTAAAGAATCTTAGTGCTTTTTAATGCAGGACCTTAAATATCTCTCATCGTGTTTGTGGTATTGTACCGAATGAAGCAGAATTCTTCTGCATTATCATACTGTGCATTCTCCTTCTTTGATGGATTATCGTCTGAGACAATTAACTGAAATTTCACGGTAGAGCGAACACGTTTAACGTGTAACTATGACATATGACCCCGAGACGAATAGGCATGCATTGAATGACGTGGTTACGGTTTTGTTCACATGGTAACGTGAAACGGGTACATCCCTTATTCTTATCACGACCGGCCACAATATCGTACCATACAATATATGCTAAATTTGTGTCTTATTCGCACACAGAGAGTCAGAGGTCGGGGATTTGAAAAATATCATTGCCCGTGTAGTCGAAAATATTTTAATCTCTTTTATAGCGTGTCACGATTGTCATCATGTTACAGACAGAACGTATTGTAAACATATTTTTTGTATAAAATACGTATGTATACTTTTTTTCAATACCCTATCGGGGACCGAGACAATGAAAAGAAGTAAACGTAAGCACTAATGATTATTAAGAAGCATCCGATGGAGGAAACTTGTGAAGGGTCAAGTACTATTTTTATAGTACATCTTTTTATCTCGAAAATGGGAAAATGTAGATCAATTAAGTAAGTAAAATATATAGACATATCAGCAGAATCTTAATGGAAACTCAAATTCGAAACAACTATTTAGAAAGATTTACATAGAAACAGGAAAAGCATAAGGAAAATAACAATAAAAAATGTTCCGAAAGAGTAAGCGTCTGCTATTTAATTTTAATTCCAAGTTAGTAATGTCACGTTCTCATATGAGAACAAGGTAAATAATAACGGAATTACCATGCAAACTAACAAGTCCTTTTTAGGGTATGAGTAGATAATGCGCAAGGGTATTTTTCATTTAAACTTGATAGCAGATGTTAAATTTTGACCACAACATATAAGCATTTCGAGAATCATATTCTTACAAGTAAATTATATACAAAATAATTGGCGAAAACCTTCGATAATAAAACAAATTTACACAGAAATTGCTTAAAGATCAAGGAAGCTATCGTTAAACGTCGTGATATGTGATAAGGCGAAGGGGGGATAGAGAATGGAATGAATTTATTTAATCTATAGAATCGAGACTTGTTACAGGTCAGCTAATATCTATGTGTGAAAAAATCTGAGGTCTCAGCTCTCTTCCATGTTAAACACCAACATCTGATTAAGATAAGTACTTCAAAAGAACTACCTACCAGGACAAATATCATTTATGTTTTTTTAGTGACTGAGTCAAAAAGCTATTGTAATAGTTGTATATTATCTTTTGTAGGGCAAAAAGTAAACTAGTTTTCTGAACAATAGTAGTTGTATGATATGCATGAGACGTTGTAATGTATAAGATGTGTATAACCACATGTATCATATTCCCAATGCGACATAATTCGTACCAGTCTCTCGTAATATTATTCTGAAACTATATACGAGATACTGATGTATCGTTTGTATAGCTACTACTTACAATATAGAACACAAATAACCCGTCCTTTCTACCACTATATTGTACTTCTTAACGATATCTATATATTGATAAATTGACCACGTCATCTGTGTCAGGAAAGCATTGTTAGCATGATGTCTGCAAACATTCAAACTGGTTCACAGAGACTATTATGTAATACTTAATTGTCTATATATGTGCATATGGCGTCTTAAAAATGTAACGCGTGTTTTTAATAGATATGTCTTTCCACAGAAATACTGACGTCTAATGTTTACAATATTGTAATCTTGTCACTCCTGAGAGTGCAACAAACGCAATTTCAGTTATTTAGGGTATGTTTGGTGTAAACTGGGTCCATATTCTGCAATAATGTTGTTAAGACGGATTAACGTGTTTGTGACGTAAGCAGGTATACTTGTACTATCAGTACTCTGCATTATCGCTATATCTTTTTTTAAGTTCAAGGTCATGTCATGTCCTGAAACTAAACCACATGTAGTTTTCAATTATTCGTTGTTCGAAAAGCTGAAACAATATGCATCTATGAAATTAACACCTTTGAATAAAAAAACATACAGTGTCTCATAAATATCATTACTTGTGTACTCATGAATACACACCAATATAAAATTGTTTATATGTACCAATGTTTGCTGTGATATATGCAATGAATTAGAGAAAAGTGTACAAACGACAAATATCAAGGAAATGATGTTCCTATTATGAACACAGAGTTTATAGTATGGACGATTAATCATGGGTGTCTGGTAGACTTGTGTTGTCGCGTTGATGACTCTAATTTCTACTGCCTATGAAAAGACAATGACCTTGTAAGCAGGTTGACACAGTTTCCATGTACACATGACCTGAGATAAGAAATTTCATTTAAAATTATTAGAAAAGAACATTCTGATAAAACATCTGGTTTTTCACTTTTTCCTTTATCATTGCACGTAAAAAATAAAATTAATCAATTCGGCCACATGAAGCTGTCTTTTTGTTGTAAGGGACTATTCATTATGTAACCTAGCTAACTGTGTAAGCAAAGATATGAAATCGTAAAACAGAAAGGAATTTTTGAGAGAGTATTACTTTACACTAAAGCTCAAGTACGAATAAGGAATCAAATGCATTCAGAACATGCCGAGAATGCTATTTAATTACGTCTATTTACGTAAATGCCATACAAAATACATGCTGTGTAAAGTTAGTAAACCTCATTTTCTTAGATTTAATCATGACTTAGGAGCCTGACTAATGAGTTACCTATGTTACAAGCTATATTCCAAATTTTGGTCTAGAGGTATCGTTACAGCTATATGTCGCTTCCTTTGAAAACTATATACTTAAGTCTCCTTATATCAACCACCAGCACTACTTATTAACCTTATGATCAAAATATATCTATGGACATCTGATCAGTATCTTTTATAGTTTTCGATGACAGGTACATATACTTTTTTCTGATTGCAAACGCATTTCACTTGTTTATATTAACTTAAAATTCGTCATTCAGTACTATTTCATTTTCCCTTTTCCTATCTCGAATACGAGATAATATCTTGCTCTCTGACAGACAACATCCTGTTTGGAGTGACAGACGGACGACATGCCTGTTCGGTGTCAAACGGAGGAATGTTTCGGGTATATTCGTGAACCTCACCTGGTTGCGCTGTCATTTCGCTTTTAAGAAGTGTAACATGCTACCAGTGTATGGCCACATGGATATTCTGTGTAGACAGGCGGATTTTGTTTGTGATACCATGATATGCAGTTTATAGTCGTGTCATATAGTGACAGTATGGTACATCACCATGAACCATCAGCTGAGATACACCTCATTAGATCATTTTCTCCATATAGTCAAACAGAAACAAGTTAAAAAGATTCTATCGAAGTAGTGTTGCTGAAATGATTTGCAACATTTCTTTAACAACACATTACATACTTATTGTAAATTGACATGCCGTGTTATTTGTATCAAATATATTTCGTTCTTTCTTTTTTCCACAAGGAAAACTTCTACCAAACATTAGTGAAAAAACCTGCGCTCAAAAATATTTGCCAAAACTAGGAAGTAAACCGTCCCTTCCATTAATCAATGTGTTTTTCAAATTGTACATTGGTATTTTTAGTTAAAATACAGGAAAATCAACCTCGAATATATTTACTTTGCATTTCTTGTATTGTTTTATTGCTTTTAAAAAAATCAATAGGAATGCAACACTTGTTAAACGTATTTGATTAAATAACAGCATTCAACAGAGCAATAAAATAGATTTGAATAGAGCTACTTTCGCATCACCTAGTACCAGGCAAGGGTTGTGATAGCTTAAAGGAATAAATCAATTTAATTGATAAATCAATATTTAAATTCTTTCATTTTAATGTCAACTTGTACAAGACTGGATAAAATGAGTCAGACGAAGATAAAACAGAGAATTGAATGCTGACGTTAAGAAGTCGGCTAAACATTTTATATATCTTAATGGCCATGAAAATTGGGCCACTGGAAAATTAAAAAAAACATAATTACCGATTTCCTTATGGCCGTTAGTGGTGTCATATTAAAACAAAAGTACGTTGAGATTAACGATAAAATTCTAGTCGTTCGATTAATCAAGAATTTGTAGTATATCTTTAAGTGTCATTAGCATCCGTATGAAAAAATCTGTTGTAAATTTACGAGCAATCCGTGCTTCTAACAATGAGCTGTGTCTCTGTTATCACGAACTGCTTAAGCTAGCTTCACCACGGTGTAAAGTTGAAAACGTCCATCAAGTTTGATTCAAATCTTATCACTCAAGCATCCTGTGAGGTTGAAACATTAAAGCACAATGCAGTGGTAAATATTTGATCAATGAAATCTATTGATTATGAGTTATAACAAGAAAATAAATGTTTCCTTAAGATTTACATATTAAGGAGTATCATGTTAAAGACCTTAAACATGCAATTTAGATATTAACAGATTAGTCTTGCGCTATTATCCTGATAACACCGGGATCACACGTTCATGACAGTGCTGTCATGCTGTCCATGTTGTTTATACTGTCATGTTGCCAATGCTGTTAATCTGTTTACGTCGTTAATGATCTCATGCCGATATGTTTGTGATCCATTTTATCTTAACGTTTGTGTTAGAACACATAGATACATGATGTACATTCAGGACAACACGAGGAGACCACGGTCCCCGTGGGAGATAAACGGCGAAGGGCGTATTTACACACGCTGCTTCATGTATCTACATGTAACTACAGTTTTAACATTGAACCGATAAAAACAATCCTTTGAAACGTCATCAAAAATTTTATGAAAATAACACGTTGGATGTACCTTTGAATTCTTCTGTTGAATTTACTCCAGATTGAATATTTTAGAACCATTGTTGTTGAGCTACGTATGACAGAAGAGGTACAGGAGATAAACTGGATAAGGGGTCGGATTTGCTTATGTAAACATAATCTGGGTATACCTCTAACAGGGATCACATGATTCACGTGGAGAAAGGGGAATAAAGAACAGCCCTATCAACTGACAAAGGACAACCATTATTAGAAACAAAGGAACGAAATTGTTTACAGATTTGCGTACAGGTGTGCACACATGCCGGTTTTGTCTTTGGAATTTTTAACACTGTCCAACGCCGTGTGTTACCTTATATTTGCACTTCATATGCCTGAATCATGTAATTTATGATGTACTTGAAATATTTACCCCAGCTGGAAAAACGTCCTGTGTTAGGAATCTTGCTCATACAGTTTCTCGGTTTTGAATTTGCTTGTTTGCATGACGGACTATAAATCTCCTTATCAGATATATTCCAGGTTTACCTATATATTACAGCCTCCACCCATAATGATGATAATACATGTACATATATCAAGTGACAGCGCATAGAAAAGATAGGCTAACACAAATATTCTCATTGCCATGATCGTCTTTGAAACAAGGATGTTAAGGCATATAGTTCTTGTATTGCCAATGCAGCTGATGACGCACAGCCTTTAAACATACGTACATCCTGATCACCTCTTATATAGAAAACTGTTCCTACTGAAATCGGTCTTCTTTCAGAAGAACCTTGAAATACGTTTTTTCGTAAAACATATAATACCAATAATGTGACACGTGATTCTTCTGTACTATGTACTAAGAAAATAAAATCAATATTATTTTATATATCTCCTTGACGAGATAATTTTCATGTTAAATAACAGTCACCAAGATTTTTTTGAATCTGTAAATAAATTCCCTTTTCTTGTTGTAGAGTTGCGGACATGGATGGACCTCAATGAAGGGACGTGTTATATTCTGGTTCCAGTTAAACTACGTTACAAACACGGGTTACGTCATGTTTAAGTTGTACGGTCAGCAGTGTCAGAGATGTAAAAATGGAACATATGAACATGCCATGTGGTATCCTGAGGAAGTAGTGAAGGTAATGATGTGTAAAAAGTTATTTAAGAAACCATGACGGAATAAAACTGTATATTAGCAAACAAGATTCTATATCAGCGAAAACAGTGTTTTGCTGCTAATACGATATGAGAGATTTACGTTTATAAAAGTAAACAGACTATCGTTTACATGATAAGAACTATAGATAAAAACAAATTCGTTAATGGTTAAGATTGAGTCGATAGCAAAGATTGTACAAAGGCTTCGTAAGTAGCACATTTCAATACAATTTTACAATTAGGCACAATGTACCCAGATAAGGAGTTAACAGCATCATACATTTGTTCTGTCTTTCTATAACTCGTCATTAATGCCAGGGCATACATTTTGAAACATCAGATGCGACTTAGGGCAACCAAAATTGATCGCAAGTAAATGTCAAAATCTTAATTGAAAGATAAACTAGCCCGATGGTTCGATATATTTCTATATATCTGATAATTTTAGAACAAAAGCAATTGCATGTATATAATCTGAAGCATGCCACTATTCGAATGATGCAAAACGTGGCATATGCAGGTTACGTCAAACCTCGTTGACGAAATGTCCACCAGTAGTGTTTTAGTGCCTGTAATTTTGAAGATTGTACAAATTATTCACAAGTGATCAGAATTTTTCACTACAACTCTAGAATAAGATACAGTAGATGCACTCACTGCATCATGCAACTGTGTTTTCCTTCCAGAACTTCTTAAGGGCCTAGTTTTTACACATGGGAAATTTAAGCAATTATTCTCTTCAACCGAAAGGATTAAATCAAAATTACATATTCTCCAGTGTATGAGCATAATAAGGATTTACCCTGAAATGACAATTTATAGAATGATTCCATTTAAATTCGAGATATTTTGAATTGATAATATTAATCAAAACAGTTTTTGTATTTATCGTTGGCCTTCCTTTATTATTTCAGGTACTTGGAAACGTATATAATCGAGTCGGACAAATATACTATGGTTTTATACGTCCTCCACTAAGGATAGACCGAAGAGCAGGGAAACCAAGAAACCAGCACAACGCCGAACTGTGCCAAGCTTGCAAGGAAGGTCTATGCCGGGAAGAATGGTCATTCTCGTGAAGGCAGCGCCATCTTTAACAGTGTAATATGCATTTGAAGGGCAGTAACTCCTACATGATACTACACAAATGGTGGGCCGTGTAAGGAAAATGAAAATTGGACGAGAGTGAAATAAAATGGATATGGTTGGCCAAAAATATACCGATGACAAAATTTCGTTGTCTTATATTCGTTCTGAATGCAATGATGTATTATTGTCATTATCAACATCTGCTGTTTCAGCAGAAAAAATAGTGTGCTCATTATTTTACTTTTGAATAGTTTGTGTATATATTATTTGATTTTATTAAATGTTTTATTTTTACTTATACATGTGTAGCAAACTATTTGCAGAACAGATTGTTGAACAGTCTCGATTCATGTATTTAGTTCAAAATTTCTTAAAAATTCATTGACTGTGTTCAATTTGAAGATGGTGTTAATTCTTTCATCACCATTGTTTTTCTTTTAGCCTTTTTGCTAGATCTGCTTACTATTAGACACAGCATTTTACTGCGAACTAAATATAGTAGCATTGTCTCTAAAATACGATCTAAACTCAAAATGTTGTTAGATAAAAAAATGTTAAACATTTAAGTATTATATCGTTTGCTATGTCGCCAGCATTTGTCAAAATTGTTTTATCATAACGTACGTTATATGTTTTGTAAATATTGATGCAATTTTATCTTTTGTGTTCTTCGAATAAATTAATAGTTAATAATATATCATTTTAAACATATTTTATTGCACATATTTTGATCATACCGTTCTTCTGTCAGGTGGTTTTCTACTCAAAACTGCAAAATTCTATCCAACATATTTCCAAGCAATGTACTAATCTACATAAGGAAAAAATTGATTTTGAAATTCGACTGTCACAAAAAGGCACATTTCATTCTTTAACAATATATTCATCAATTGTCTCATCTCAGTCGTTCAACATACATGGAAGGGTAGAAAAATTCACGAAAATAAGATTTTTGAATAAAAAAAACTCATGAACAAAAAAACCTTTGTAATACAACAATATATGTTAATAATCGTTTAGTGTTATAGGCAACTGCACAATCGCATGGTCTTTAAAACAGTATTTTTTATCTTAAGTCCCATTTCATTATTGATATCAATCCTTATAATTTAGTATCTGTTTAAAAATAAACTAAATATGAATAAACTAACCCGGGGAAGTTAATGGATTATAGAATCTTAATAATTGATAGTGTAATTGTCTATTAATTATTTGCTATTTAAGTATTACTGTCAATAATTTGATCTAATTATTTCCAATCTCTGTAAAATCTGTTAACAAAGATGTGAGAAACAAAGCTATTCCTGTCAAGCAGGGGAAATATCGCATTAATGATAATATGTTTGATACATAAGTGATACTTATGTATTTTGCGTAAATAGGTCTCTAGGATACTTTCAGAATAATTAAAGCTGTTTCTAAAAATCATTCGACATTCTTCAAACGATACGATAATTATTGTGCCTTATTTGTAAATACTTAAATTGTTACATTGTATTTTTTCTGTATATAAACGTATTGTCTGTCTGTTAATATAAATGTACTGCAGTGTGGTTCTTATTAAATAAGCCTGCTGCGCAATTAAGATTTTATTAGAATTTATCGGAATGGAGCACAGGGTCTTGTATGATACATTGAAAAATATTTTACAAAAAATTCGCTAGTGAAGAATGGTTTTCAATACAAATAGTGACTTGGATTCACTGCAGCTATGTATTTAACTGTAGAGCTGTTTCTTCCTTTTTGATTCATCAAAACAAGCTCGATACTTAATTTTGAAACATTGGAGGCGACTGTGGAAAACAAATATTGACAAAATGAATCTCAAAATCAAAATTAGGAGATGCTCTTGCCTCGTAATTCAATAAAGAAATTTTCATATATTTGATATTTTTAAAGAACGTCAAGCTGATGTGTATATTCAGCATGACGTTTGATTCTTAATACTATATTACAGACTTAAATGTATAAATTAAAAATCTAATTTCGGCGTTAAATATAATGAGAAGACCCTGTACACCATTTCTTAAGTTTTTAGATGTATTTGTTAGTCTACGTTTGTGTTTGTTTCTATCTGGCGTGTTAGGGTTGATACTAAGCTTTCTTTATTTTGCAGGTATCACTTTGTTCTCTTTGAAGTTGGTGTTGATAACTAGTTTTGAACTTAAGATATATATATTTATATATATTATTCAATTTCAATCAAACACAATGGAAAGTTTATTTCCATCAATACAACTGTCCATAATTATGATTAGCTAATTATATAGGTAATCACTTGTTCTGAATCAAAAGTGTTTATATCTTAAATAGCGATATCTATTGATCAAAAATATATTGATGATAACTGAATTAAGCACATTCATAATTCCAAACATTTATTCTCCTCTTGACATAATTCGAAATTTTTGCTCCGGAAATTTCAGCAAAATATGAGAAATATCTGAATGTATGATGGTAGGTTACCTGGTAGCTACCATTATTAGCTCCTCGCCTTGGTTTTCGTGTGGATACTTTAGAGAGCGTGTTTTTCGCGTGCCATATATTTTCACGTTGACTTGCGCTATCACGATAACAAGTATGAAATCATAATGGTTTCACAAACAAAAGATTCATCCGGTCAAAAGGGATTTGAAATGTCTGCAATGTTAAAGTGCTACAAAGTGACTAAACTGAGAAAAAAGTATCATCAATGGTGAATGCATTTGTTAAAGTGAATTCTGAACGCTGTCACATAATTTAAATGTTTCTGTGTGTACAATGTATGTTTGCAATATGAATTTTTATATTGTCTATTTGAAATAAATAACACTTTTCAAGCATTTAAATGTACGTTTTATGATTGTTTGTTCTCTTAATCAAATTTTAAACATTTATAGCATCAGAGAATAAGTCTTACTGAACTGACTTAGAATAATCGTAAAGGATAAATGATTGTTTCATCTCGATTTGAAAAAAATTGCAACTTGGTATAGAAATAAATTGTAGCCTTATAGATCCTAATCGATACTTCAGAAAATTATTCATGTCACACCTAAAAAATTTTACATGGTTTAATATCATCTGGTCACCTACTAATGTGATGGAGATAACGCATTTAAAGAGTACAGAGATTGCAATATGAAATTTATCGTATACATTTTAACTGTGTATTTGAAAATACATAGGGACAATAACTCTATATAGATTTAAAAACCGCATTATAAGATAACAGACATCAACTCAATTTAGGGATAATATCCGACATGTGCTAAACTATATAACACTACATATTTGAGTTTCGAGTTTGAATCATGATTTTGCTGGCTTATGTTTTCCCGACATTCAGAACATCACATTCAACTGCTTTGACATAGATTTTCATGGCAGATCACGTCGATGCGGTAGAGCTAACCTATTTCTATGGCTAAAATTGTCTTATACCCGTGCACGTGTGTAAGGATGTCGGAATAATTATATTGTTTGATTAGAATTTTACTCTCATTACTTATAGAAAGAAAATAAATAGAAGCTACAATGCTATGATCGTAAAAACATAGACAGTTTTGATAGCAGATATTATAATAACGTCGTTTTGCAAAAACATTTGAGATTGCAAATTTGAAATTTTACAATCACCTAGAAAGCGTCACCCAGAAAGATGAAACAGCTAGATGCTGTTTCATTTACGATTTTACACTTTAGGCTCCTAGCGTCACCTCGAAAGATGAAACAACAAGGTAGTGCAGTTTCATTTACGGATTTACTGTCGCGTGTTGGTTACTGGGAAAGGAAAGCTCGTGCCAATGCAAATAAAATGCGAAACAGTGATTGCGCCATTTACGTGAGGTCCATTTCCCTTCATCAATCCATACAAGGAACAAAATCGAATATCAATCCTGATATTAGCATGAACTGTTTAAAAAAAAAAACCACTTTCTTTTGAATACACAGTCTTTAGTATGGATTGTATCGCTTTGCAGTAACAACACCACATGTTTGTGACTTGGTCATATGTCAAGCGAATCATACTCAATTGTCCACTGTACCGTTGATGTAAGTAGAATTTTACGTCGTTTTAGCTTAGTTAGAAAACGTTATTAGTATACTGACATGAAAACTAACGTGGCTAGTGACTGGAAAATTTTTAATCCACTATAAGGATTACGGATCCCGAAAAGCAGTCTATACAAGGCTTTCAGACACACACATTACGGCAGGGTTATGTATACATAGTCAAGGACAGTCGCAGCACTCGATGGCTTTCCTGATAATGACTGGAGTCTGAAATGTCAATATAGTAGCTAGGAAGAGATATCATATTTACGTGACCACTTACGTTATTTGATATCGTGGTAACGGCATCTAAGCTTTAGAGCAGACTCCATTTCGCCTGCAATCTGCTACCGTACTGTAGGGTAGGAGAAAAACATAGAGTAGGATAACTATTGGCGTGACGAAGCTTTCGGGAAAGTCAAATCATTCGTTTGTAAAACTGTCTCCATTATATTGGTACATACGTGTGACCATATTTAAGACTTAGCAATGTTACGAAATGATCCACCAGCACGCAACCCACTCTCGCATCGGGACATGTAGTGATTGAAGTTTCCTTAATGTTGAACGAAGTCAAAAGAGAATTTTTTTTTATTTGGCGAATATTGTACATAATATTCAGTAATTTTTGTACATTTTCAACAAAACTTCTTTTGGGAAAGCTAAAAATTAAACAAGCTGACTGGTATCGTTATTTCAAAAGAATTATTGTACCTGTGAAGGTGCGATATTTGTTTTTCATTTCTATATCGTTTAATTGTAAGTAGATAATTACATTAACACTAGACCTGGCTTACCCAAACCTTGTCCGCGACGATTTGAATGCATAAATGTATACAGAGTTTTCTCCCTTCAAGTTAGTAGCTACAATGTATAAGTAGGTGTAGGAAAGATAACTCCCGCTAAACTGTCATCATGATGATAAAATTACAGAAAGTTTTAGAAAGGAATCGATGTTTGTCTAGAAGAACCTTTGTCAAATATCTTTTTATCAACAGTGTATGCTGATATTGTTTATGTTTATCGTGAGAAAGTTGTACTGGATAACACGAGAAACATGTGTTTATTTCTACTGAATGGACAGTTTTTATTTTCCGTTTCATTTTACTGATAAACAAACAATAACCTATCGGAAAGTGATAAAATATTATTATTAATGTAGTAGTACATACGCTTCTTGGTAAATAAACGTTTCGTTTAGAATCTAATAACTGGCTAATTCTACTAATAAATAGGTAATGTGTTTATGCATAATATTACATATGTATG